TATAACACGCCGTCCTATCCATGTTCAAAGGATTTATGCACCCCCCCCCCAATCCACACCCACGAACGCTTTTTAAGATATTTCTTAAACTGAAAGGGAAGTAATAGGAACCTTCGCTTGCCTTGTCGTTTAAAAATTAATGATAGATCTATCTGTGTTGCTGTGGAGTTTGCGCCCTTAGTTTGCTTTTCCGTTATGATAGGGAGTAATAATTGAATTCCTATCTAACAGTTTCTAAATTGCATAATTTTTCTTTTATTGCCAATCTTAGGACGCTATATAGTTGTATTCTAAATTTTTAACAATGAAAAGATAAACAATACATATTTCTTACCAAAAAAATGCTATTTAGTATTGTCTGTATATATTAAATCCGTTCACGAAATTGTGTTGTTGGAACGATCCTGTCTCCAAGGGTCGGCCATGTTGATAAACTGTTTGGTTGGTGCTTGGTGACAAGTGAGGCCTGACGTTTCATCTGATGCGAACCGCAGTAAACACTTATTTCGCTCGTTAATTACCAGGCCTCTGACGGTAATTAACAACCATGGGGAAAAGATGTGTTTGCGAAATATGCAACTGTGGGTAAGTACAGTTATGGATAATTATTTGAGAAAAATAAGGAAAATAATGCACCAAGCCTACTGAGTTAGAATTAGAATATTTTTTATTAATTTTAAGAAGATCGCCAACTCGCACTGGTTTGAGCTGCCGAGTTGCAACTATCTAAAATGAAAAGCCTTTCGTCTTTGAACCCCTTTATGTGGTTGTAACACATTTTTTCATGAAGGATATCTTTGGGTATAATTAGTATAAAGTTTTGGCAGTACGATATGCAATTAAAATAATCACTTGCAATTAATTATACTAGATATCTAGATCTATATCTAGAAATCTATTAAATTTATACTACTTTGTGTAGTCCCTTCACAACTTTTTTCAAAGATCAAACTTGCTACATTTTTTTCCCATATTCCCTGTGACAAGATAGCTGGTTCTTACCTATACGCACGTCAGGTCACTGAGATGTTCTTCTTCAGCTATAGATCCTCTTTTACGAATTTTTACAGTCCACACACACTAACCACCGGCTGGTCAGACTAACTACTGCCGTCTCACGCTAGCAACACAGTTCACTCACACGCAATTCCGCTTCTCAACAGGAGTGCGTTCTCGCTCACACTTTTGCTGCACACCACACACATGACAACATAACACGCATATTATGTTTCCGACTCGTCCAAAAACAACATACACTCCAGTAACGCCCTCTAGTACAATAGTAAAAATCACGTACATATGCTAACCATATGCACAGTGGTAAATGGTACAACCCCCCCTCTTTGTGATTTTTTTCCTCATCGCAATAAGCCTTATTGTGTGCTGGCACAAGAACCCATGCCTATGGCCCATGCTTCCCACGGGGGGGGGGGTTATTTCTGAGATATACGTATGATTAAGGACATTGGCAAAATCAGGGTAAAAACATCATGTTTGTTTTTTGTTTTCTTGACCCTACTTTAAATCAAACAAATGGCCATCATTTTGACTGTAAAAGGCCATTTTCTGTGCAAGAAAATAGATGTTAAAGTATCAGTCCCAAGGACACAGCTTTGAGTCCCTGGTGGGATTTGAACACTCGATCTTATATGTTGCAAGTCCGAACCGAGAGTCTAACCATAGGCCATGTGTCACCACACATTTATTATAGAGGCTGACCTATTCACTGAACAGCTCCAATCATAATCAGCGCTTATGCACAAACTGTTTTCATAGTTCCTTGACCTGGCCTAAAACATAAGCTATTTAATCTTTTGTATCAAGTTAACCTCAGCAAACTGAATTACTTCAGTTACACCAGAACCATTGAAAACCTGACCCTGTCTACTAGCAAAAGAGTTGTTTTTGTTCATCCATGTGTGCATATTTTCTTTTTTTTCAATTGTTCATAGCTAAGCAAGTTTTAGATGAAAGGAAGATGAGCACGAAGAACAACAGTCTTTAAAAAATAGACTTGAAAAAGAATAGCAACATATACTGATGGAGGATTTAGGATAAAATTTGCAATTCAATCATATAGGCTACTGGTGGAGTGGAGGACAAAGAATAGAATAAGTATTGCCTTTCAAATCATATGTTTTAAGACACATTAAATTATAAGCAGGAATGAGGCTTATTTTTTAAGCATCATATACAGTAGAAAATTAGCAAAGTTTTTGATGAACACTGTTTCTTACCATCAACATAACTAAGCAAAAATACTAGAATGACATTACCCCTTCATAAAGACTAGAATTTGAGACAGCGCACGGCTCTATGAATAGTAGCCTGATTGGAGTTTCATGATCTTTGGTTTATATTTTGCAGTCGCCATCACTGTCCTCATCGCCCCTGGCGCCCAGGTGGTGATTATGGCCCCTGTATGATTACATCATACAATACATCCTACAAGCAGCATCCAATTGCCCCGAGGGAGAGTTGCAAACCTGACCCATCGGCTCTACGCAGTGAGGATCCACTGTCCGATAAGACTACTTTTAGGTAAGAAATTTAAACATACATTCATTTCAATAACACTCTGCTGTCACACAGTCAGCAGTACAAAATACCCCATCTGGTCACCCAGCCAGGAGAGGGACTACAACGGACTTCTCGGGCCTGGCGCAGATGTGACTGGAACAGATAATTTTCACCGGCGCATTGTTGCGCCAAGTGACTGCAAAGTGATATTGCTAATAGTAAAGAAAAGCTTAATGTTCCACCCCCCCCCCCCCGTTCCAAATGGCCTGTTAATTGTGAGTGTGTATCTATATTTGAGAAGATATTTGGATTTCTTTTGGTCTGTCAGTTGTTTCATGACCACAAGCCAACATTAAGAGATATCCTAAGACAAGGGGCTATGATGATTCATTTTACTGTTAACTAGCCATTTTTATTTAGTGAGCTTAGAACTGTCTTATACTTACTCTGTTTTTCCGGTATTGAAATGCCGTTCTTAAGGCAGTGATTTTCAGTCACAAAAATAGGTGTGTACAAAACGAAATTGAAATTTTACAGAACATGAGCATTAATGCTAATGAATTTAAGATCTATGTGAAGACTTTTAAACAACTTTTGAGATATGTGACAAATACTCCCAAAGTAAAAAATTGGATTTAGTATGAGACAGGACTCAGCTAGCAAGTTGGCATTGCCAGGGTTTCAAGATGTGACTGTTGTATGCTGTAATTTAGAAATTTACCTATGAATAGTCACAGAAAAGTAATAGCTGTTAAGAATAATTATGCACTTGTCTTGTTTAAAAGTCGATAAAGGAACTTCAAAATATATCTAAAGAATTTGGGCTCTATATATCTGTATTTTGTCATTGCAGATGGGACAGAATAATAATATAATTAATTTTATGGGTACTATCTGATAAACTGACTTTATTTTTTAGAAAGAATAATGATAAGGAAACTTTAATGTCAAATGACCCTTTTCCAGTGCTGTGATATATTAAACTAATGACTTATATGCAAAACCAGAACGGACTACATCAAGCACCCCCTTGAGAAACCCTACGTCCATGCTCATGATGTATACAAGAAGCCTGCTGGAGAGATTGATGCACTTACCTCCTATCACAGGGATTACACTGGTATGTGGGCAAGGAGAAAATAATTTACTTATAATTCCAATAGACATAATTTTTGTTCTGTCGTGATATATGCTACAATTCTAAGATCAAATTTCAAGCATATGTCAGTAGTCCCTTCTCTTATTAGTTTTGTCTTATATTCAATAACAAGATAGAATGCATCAGGCTAAGAGCTTGTCTCCTTATGCATGACGCGACATCCTTGCTACTCTAAAACCAATCAAGTAAGATTATAAAGAAACTGTCCCCTTACACGCAACGTGGCGTTTGGTCGCACACGACAGTCGCCTGCAATTGGTCCATGTTGCGACCGAGGGTCTCGTCGCATGCGACAGACTGGTGATGTGTCAGGTTTAGAGCATCCCCACTGGTCAAAATACCTAGCCAAGAAGTGCTGATCAACAAGCCGTGTGTGGTGTGATGTGTGTGTGTGTGGGGTTGGTGGGGTGAAGGATATTGATCTTTAATTCGACCAAGTGCAAGTTTTGTGAATCAAATTTTGTTTTGTCTTTTTAACGGACAGCAGGTGGAGGAGGAGGAGTAGGAGGAGGACAAGGAGGAGGAGGAGGAGGAGGAGAACTTACACGGGATTGACAGTGTATGGAATAAAAAATGTCAGCGGCTAGTAGAACTGCCATCTGACGGACTTTGTACTTCCTTGTCCATCTTGTCATTAAAATTTGCCACTTTCTCTCTTCTGTGAATTGCCAGTCACAAGAGGGCTTATATAGCCAGTCACACACCACGGCTAAACATTGCGTCGTGCATAAGGAAACAATTTTGTTGCTTTTTTTTGCACGCAACTGAAAATTTTGGCACCATTTGGTGGCGCATAAGATAACACACCTAGTGACTCATCTCTAACAACTGTCACACGCAACTGAACGTCGTACCACATATAAGGAGACCTAGGCTAAGGGGGCAGAATTTGAGATATTTAATGAAACAAAATAAAACAGAGACTACAATGCTCCATGTCATATGTAGGTGCAATCTTTAGCTTTTTCACTTGAACTTGTTTTGAGAGTAGGTACAATAAGCAGCTTTTTGAATGGCTAATTTTCTTTTATGTTGTCTTATTTATAAAGTAAATCTTATCTCTATAAGTAGTTATAAAGCTGATAAAAGTGCGTATGTGTATGTATTGTGTGTGTATGTGAGAGAGAAAGAGAGAGAGAGAGAGAGAGAGAGAGAGAGAGAGAGAGAGAGAGAGAGAGAGTATACAATGAGTTTGGGAATGACTGTGTATATGTATACTGGTGTGTATTCCGGTTTTTAGCTATGTAAATGTGAGTGTATCAGACTGTATGAGCATTTTTATTATATGTATTCTACAGAGAAGCATGCACCACCAGCTCAGATGATTAAGCATGATGGTCAGAAACACTTGCCTGCCAAGTTTGAAGGGGAACCTACTTACAAAAGTAAGACACAGCAAAAGCAATGCATTTCTCTTATTATAGTAGGCTTCTGGGCCTTTTCCGATTCATGTTACTTTTACTACCCAGTTCTTTATACATTCAAATGCTTTAAGAAACATTCTTAAATGTTTGCTATTTTGCTCTGAATTTTGATTTTGCAGTATTTGCTGATTTGTTTTTTAAAAAACAATGAGGAGGCTTGTGATGAGAGCCATTTCAACTCTTTACTGCTGCTCACCGGTATTAATTTTTTTGGAAAGCCCAGGTTTTGAGGGGTGACATAAAAAAAAAATGCAACACAAATAAGTTCTACTCAAACATATACACATTTGGTATCATTTCAAAGGTAATAAAGGGAAAAATACGTTAATGGCATTGTTTTATGTATTTGTTAAAGTATCTATTTTATATGGGTCAAGAAATTAAACGTTTTTATGGTGCTCACTCGGGATAGCAAATCATTAGTAATGTGACCATCAAAACCATAAGACCGATGTAGATCTAGTTCTTGATCATAATCATCTTGAAAGTAATAAAAAAATCAATATATCTAGTTTCATATTTGCCAGTGAAAAGAACTGGTGGATTTTTCTTTCTGATACAATAGCTCACTCTTACTTTGTAAAAAACCAAAAATTGGTATTGTCATAATTACAAGTTTAAATTATTCCAAACATGCTCAAAACCCATTTGTTCAAATCCAGATTTGGAGGAAAATCGGATAATCATTCATAGTTGCTGAAAATAGGATTATTATAAGAGGCAAAACCACTGAAAATGCATAAGTTGATGCAAAATGAGACATGTTGTGAATCGATGCTTTCATGTTCGTTCCAATGAACGCTGTAGGCAATTGACTCTCCCATAGTTGTTCCAATGGGAAAAAATTAATCCATGGCAAGGCGCTTAGGTTTTAAGCTTATGTAGGTCCCTTGACACCCCCTCCCCCCGAGTACACCTTTATTGTCTCTCGTTGGGGGGGTGGGGGGGGGAGGGGGGAAACTCGGTCAGAGATGAAAAGCTATAAATTTTCTACAGGTAAGGGGGAGGGGCAACTGGATAAGCGTAGATCTTGAGACTCATAATAGGATAATAAGTGAAAATGGCTCGCCTCATGCCACTTTGCACTGTGATAGGTCATCAAGGTTAACCACTCTTAGCTCACCATAAGTCATAAACCCACCAAGCGGTCACGTCAGTTCATTTTAGAGTGGAGGGAGACCATTTTACAGATTGTAAGCCTTAGCATGGGTCACCATAGATTCTTCTCTGGGTTCGTCGGTTAAAATCCTGGTTCGCCTAAGATCCCGCATTTCCTTGCTCCTGAGCACCGGGATCTTAGGCGGAGACTACTGTATTTTGAGGGCTCCTGGTATTCAGCTTTGTTAGCCTTAATGAGAATGTATTTCTGGAATTGCTTGTTTAGCCGTTCATTTAAAAGAAAATTTTTAATGCTCTGAATGAATAAAAATTACTATGATTTTTTCCCTGCTCTCCTATATTTGGAAGCTTCAAAATAATTCTGCTGTCTCTTATTTCCCTATCATTTGCTCTGAGCAAGTTGAACTTTAGGTAAATTTATTATTCAAGAAATTGGATTGTGTCCACTTTCTCACTCAGCTTTCTTTTTTAATTCCAGTTGACTACCGCAAATGGCCCCTTGAGAGAGTGCAGCCTAAGGCCCAAGATGCCTGGGTGCCGTCAAACCAACCATTTGAAGGACAGAGTACTTTCACACGTGACTATCGTAAGTACAATGAGCCACCGAGAAAGAGCATAAAGCCATCTCAAGCAACACATATGTCAGAGGCACCTTTTGATGGGAACACAGGGTACAGGGATGATTACATCCGTCATCCAATGCAAGCAAGAGAGCAGAGAGAAAAAGAGTTGTACAAGCCTTCCAATGTTCCATTTGATGGCATGACCACGTTCAATCGGGATTATACCAAGAAGCATGGCTCCAAGACAGAATCTTGCAAACCAAATGCCGAGGCTTTCCAGTCTGATGCTCCTTTGGATGATCTCACTACTTTCAAGAATGATTACAGGAAGTGGAACGGAGAGAGGCCCTATGTACACCAACATGAATCCTACAAGAAGCCAGATGGAGAAATTGATCTCAATACCACTAACCGTATCCAGTTTAAGCCCCACCCACCACAGAGAGTGGCTATGATGAAACCAGGAGACGGAAGAGTGATGTTCCCTGGTGAGTTCGAAGGTCTAACAAATTACAAGAGTGATTACAAACCATGGGGAATCCACAGGGAGCAGCCCAAACCGAGGGAAGGATGGGTGCCCAACAACATACCTTTTGATGGCACTCCAACTTACAAGGCTCACTATGTCCCACATTCAATGTTGCCACCAAAGAGCCTGAAACCAGATGCTTCTGCTATGGCCAGTGATGCACCTTTTGACGACGCAACCATGTACCGCACAGAGTTCACGAAGAAACATGCGGACATATGCCCAGCGGCTATCCTTGATACCAATGTTTCCAAGTATTCCTATGTTGAAACGGATCAAAGAGGTCACAAGCAATATGTACCCCTGTATGAGACAACAACGCCATTGCGCAGAACATCATCTGCAAACATACCTAAAGTACCAAGAGCTGTCTTCGCTTAATATCTACTGCAATGAGTCCGCTATGTTGGGGTTTTAGTTCCATTTTTTATTTTTTGAAATATCCTTTATAATCTACACAGCTTTTTTAGCTTATATAAGTATAGATATATATTTGTTAGATAAAAATGCATGTAAAAATCTAATCATGTACAGACTTGTCCTTCTCCTGTCTTCCACCACAGGCATAGCAGACCTGAAAATATTGTGTTTCAGTTTTAAAACTTTATTACTCTTTTCTGTATTCTCAGCCTTGGCTCCGAAAATATGTTAAAGAACACCTTTACATTCTTTTATTTAAAAAAAGAAACTATGAATTTAGATGAGCAATGTCTGAAAGTGTAAGAATGTAAATTTCTATGGTTTTCCTTACGTTATCAACTGAATTTTTATTGCACTAAAATGCTCTCCAAAATGGGAAAACATATATTCTTTTAAGAGGAAGGGTCTGTGTTTGCCTGGTGTATATGTTCGCGTCATTGTCAATAAAACTCCGTATTCAGTGTCAAGTACAAATTGTTCATTGCTCTCTTAACAATATGACATCCTATATAAACGTCAAACACTAGCTCAAGGGCTTCAAAAGAGACACATTTTCGCATTAATGCCTCTTCAGCACAACATTGTACTTCTCCGTAGAAAAAGAAAAGCTTTCATGTGATTGTCCAGTGAAAAATATATCTTGTCCATCATTGTTGCTCAAATTAAATGATTAACACTTTGTGGTCACTTGCCGCAATAATGCGACGATGAAAATTATCCGTAGTTCTGTGCAAGGCCCAAGAAGTCCGTTGCAGTCACTCTCCTGGTTGGGTGACAGATGGGGTATTTTATAAGGCTGGCTGTGTGACTGCAAAGTGTTAATCAATACATTTTTGTCAAAATTTATCCTGATACTTTCAATTGATTTTTAAAAAAGATTATTTAATTTGATAAGGGACATAGAGAAGATTTGTTGATATTTTCCAATACGTCCACATGAAAAAGATTTAAAACAAAATATTGACCTGCTATGACCCTAACTGTTGTATTAAGCAATGAAGAATTTAAAACATTTGTTTTCATGCTACAATAGAATCTGAGGTTTTGGTACAAAGCACAGTTTGAGAACCAACACCCTGAAGAGGTTCGAGAATGTGTCTTGTTCCCAGCAGAAGAGAACAATCTGAATGGTGCGTCAAAAATAGTAACATGCTGAGTTTGTCAACTATTTTTTTAACCATATTTTACAACAAGTTTTCTATGTCAATAGCTAAGAGAACTGCTGTTGCCAAAAACTTTGTGGAAATCACAATTGTCAAATCAGAATTGCTGCCATGTCAATTTTTCTTCAGTACATACTGTTCTGACAGTTGTACTTGTTTTCTATTTCGCTTACAGTTAAATTCAGATGAACTTGTAAATAAATAAATTACATGGGAAACAGCTTTGTTCTGTTGTTTATGACTCTGCTCTTTTTTTCCAATCTAGGAATATTTATGCATTCCTCAAAAAACTTATGATATATTAACCCTTTTCTTAAAAACACGCTGCATAACTTCTGCTTGCATCTCTTTTCATCTTTGTAGACAATCATTGCCATGCCATAAGTTTGTTTTTCTATTGTTCATTGGGGATACAAGTTAAGAATACTCTTTTGTATAGTAATAAAAGCTCATCCAATATTGTTTTGTCTGGAGGATGTTTCTTACCGTGCACACTGTCTATAAATGTGACTGTTGTACTGTTGTGCAATGTGCTATATGTGACAAGATGTTAAGCAGCATCACTCATAATCCATTTCATTGTATCCAAATTCTTTTATAATTCATTTACTTTTTTCATTTATATCATCATCAGTGTAAACTATTTTCTTGTATAGATTTCCAAAATTTTTCTCACTCTCCAAATCACACAACTTTCATTTCCACCCACATAGGTGACACTGCCACACAAAAGATATCAGGAATCCTTCTCACTCCCTACTTTACTTCATAATGTATAAAACAATGTGTACCCCTATGTATTACTTTTCTTATATGAAATAAAATTAAATCTCCATTTTGTAGAGATATGTCTCCCCCC